GATATAAACTGAACGCTGCACTCTGGCGGAAAGCTCGAAAACCTGGTCAACTGCTAACTGTAATGAACTGGCATTTTGTCCTTGACCCCCCACCAATGGCTCAAGAATTGCACTTGAACATATGTAGTAGTCAGCCTACGCGATTTAAAATTATTATCAAAATATGCTTTATAACAAATTTTCTAAAAATATATATTATTGCGACGTACCACTAATCGTTCACCTGGGGAGCGAGGAAAGAAAGTTTCTGGCGGTTCTGTTTGAGGCTGTAACAAATAGATTGAAGCCCATGACCTATACCACCATAGGTAAGTACGTAACTCCTGATTACCTGTTCCTTCTGGGCGGGTTATTGCTACTACATATGCTCTCCTATCTTCCCATATTTCCAGGTAATCTCTATACTGAACAGTCCAATCCAGATCAGCTCTACCTCTTCCATCAATCCTTCTAAAATTTAATTCCATCGGTGGAATATCTGTGAATTGTATTCCCCCAAATTGCCGCATAACACGATCAGGAAGATACCACTCGGTACGCTTCCAGCTAATGAGGGGCACTCTAGCACGCCAAATTTCGATCCCCTCCAAACATTCGACAGGCAAAGTTGCTAGAATGTCATCCGTGTATGGAGTCATGCTCACCTACATTTATACAAATCAAGGATTTCTATTGACTCCATATTTCAAAAAAATTGATTTGGGGTAATGTTCAAAATTTTCTCATACCTGAGATAGTCGTAAACCGTCAAACTCATCACGATATGTCAACGTGTTGCCAGAGGGGAGCTCACGTATCCGATCTTCAGCCCACCTACATTAAATACGGAATAGCATAAGTAAATGTTTTGAAGGTTAAAGCTCTTGCATTAATTAAATAATAATACCTGCAACCAAGAGGTCTACCACCTAAATCATGTATTTATGGTGCACGCAGTGTGGGTCTGCCAATATACAATCTCTCCCACGACCAAACCTGTAGTAATGCAACACATCCGGCAATATAAGTACGTATGGTCCTGGTCGCATTACATAGCTCTCTATATAGATGCGCAAGAACAGCACTTCCAATAGACAATTGACTGAATGAGTCCACATCCATAAGCAAGGGCAACCACTATAAGGACACATGTGACCGCGATGTGTCCGGGATCAAAAAACAGCCAATCATGAACAGGATGTAAGCCCGGACATGATGAAGAAATGGACCAGGAGCTAGCTGTTCATATGAATCTCTATAGAAAGTCCAGCGAAGCCAACGTAAAGGGAGCATTGACTCGAACTGCGAACTGCCCATTCTCAAAGTGGCCGTGTCATCTTCATCGCCTGGTGCATGGTACACGGTTTCTCTACCTGGATGTGTACCAAGTAGTTCATCACAGCATTCTGGCCATGACTCCCAACGATGACCTAATCCAACAACATTTGGTCCCACGACGGCTGGCCCATCAATGTGCAGTCCTAGTATAACCTGCACATCTTGCAACGTTATTGTCATCTCTCCAACCGTGAAATGAAAAGTGTTCGTAAGCGGACACCATCTCTCGACAA